GTGCATGGGGTCGCTATGAGTCGGTTCTGACTCAGTGGCACCTGACAACAACAACAAGTATTCCATTGTGATGTACCATAGTTTGCGCGCGTTCATCTGTTGATGGAGACTCAAGTTTTTTCTTCTTTTTGCTATTGTAAATAATCCATCTTATGTACAAATGATTTATAAACAAATGTTCTTATAACTCTGATTTATTATATGCAGTATCAAATTGTTATTTCAAAATAAGTAGACCAACTTTTTTTCACTAATGTATAAGATTCATTAACTGTAATGAAAATAATCATACCCTAGCTTCTAAGTTTTTCTAGAAATATTAGTAAAACTGATTCTATTACTATTACAATTTTAAAAATATTAGTTTTTTTACAACTTAGGTTGGAGCAAAAAAATCTTTTTTCTTTTGTCTTTCCTTGCAGCTGTACAAATTATTCCAGCTTCAGTGCAGTCTGCTACACCAACTACAATGAAAGTTCTAAATAGTAGTGCAAAGACAGCTAAGGTACCTAGAGCTCCAAGGATTTCAGGAGAAGATAGAAGTTCACCTGGGAACAGGACAGGTAATTTCCCATTAGCATCAGGTACTAATACAATATCTCAAATTAGGTGTGTCTTGTTACATTTTTCTGAATGAAAATGTGAATATGGACTATTTCTGTGACAGTATATTACACATTTGTAAAAAAAAATTTGTGTCACTAACATGACTGAGACCGGAACCAGAGAAAATAAGTATGTGTTGCCTTTTGCACTGTGATAATCCATGGCACTGTATCTCATGCTTGTCACTGTTGTTGTTTTAGGAAATAATGGCCAAATCCAGCTGTGGCAGTTTTTGCTAGAACTTCTTACTGACAAGGATGCTCGGGACTGCATTTCTTGGGTTGGTGATGAAGGCGAGTTTAAGCTAAATCAGCCTGAGCTGGTTGCACAAAAATGGGGACAACGTAAAAATAAACCAACTATGAACTATGAGAAACTCAGTCGTGCTTTGAGGTAAACTGTTTATTCTGGTTTTTAGTTTGTTTTGTTTTTTAAAGACAATCCTTTCTAGAAACTAACTTACCGAATTTTAAGTCTATTGTTGTTAAGTGCCATCGTGTTGATTCCTACTAATAGTGACCCAATATAGGATTTCCAAGAAGCGGCTGGTGTGTTTGAACTGCCAACCTTACTGTTCAAACCAACCTTATGGTGGTCCAGGGCTCTTTATCTTACAGTGTGACACTTGGATCCCTTATTTTGGGTATTGTTGTTGTTGTTAGTATAGTCCAATCAGGTCCAATCCGTATCTCCCCTGTATAGGGTTTTTTTTGTGTGTGTGTGTGACTTGCTTTCTATTTACATACTAAAAAAGATGAAAGTTTTCATACTTTCTATGTCCTGGTGTGTGAATCATGACAAGCTATCGACAACATTGCGAAGTATGAGTATTCCAGAACAACTTAATTGTACTTCTGAGGAATCTGTACCTGGACCAAGAGGCAATTGTTTGAACAGAACATGGGAATACTGAA